TGGAGACCAAAAGAGGACATTGGATCCCCTGGGACTGGAATTACAGAGGGTTGTGAGCTGCCATCTGGATGCTGGGAATTGAACTTGAGTTCTCTAGAGGAACAGTCAGTGCTCTTAACCACTGAACCATCTCTCCAGCCCCTCAAACATATTATTAATGAACAAATTATTATAATAAAATCTGATTTAAGGTTTTGTTCTTGCTGTTTGAGATAAGGTGTTGTTATATAGTCCAGCTGGCCTAGAACTTGTTATGTAGATCAAGCTGGCCCAAAAATTCAGATATCTGCCCATCTCTGTCTCCCTGAGAACTAAGATTAAAGGTACGCACCACCATATCTGGCTTAAGTATGTTTCATTTACTCATTTTTTTTTTATTTTATGTGCGCAAGTGTTCTTGCCTGCATGTCTGTGCACCACAAGCATGACCGCCTTCCGAGGCCAGAGAGGGCGTTAGATCTCTTGGAAATGGAGTTACAGACAGTTATTGGCCCTCATGTGGCTGCTGGGAGGTGAACTTGCGTCCTCCGGAAGAGAAGTCAGCGCTCTTGACCACTAAGACATCCCTCCAGCCCTTAAGTATGTTTTTAAACCACAAAATAAGGGGCTGGAGATGTAGCTCAGCTGGTAGAGTGCTCGTCTAGGATGCTCAGGTCTCTGAGTTTTATTATTAGCACCAAGCATGGTTGTGGATACACAGTGAGTTCAAGACCAGCCTGGAATACATGAGACCTTGTCTTGTGTTAAAGAAAAAAAAAATGGAGCTTGGGATGTAGCTCAGTGGTAAAACGCTTAGTATAGGTATTGTTTCTCAATAAACACACTGTTATCTAAAAAGAAACATGGGGCGTGAGTGATGCTCTGTGGTTAAGAGCACTTGCTGCTCTTGCAGAGAACAGAACCTGTGTTCAGTTCCCAGCACTTACATAGTGGCTGATATCCACCTGTAACTCCAGTTCCTCAGGATTTGATCTATATACATAAACACTAAGGCACATATACGTACATATGAAAATAAATAACTATATTTTTAAAAAGAAACATGTTAATAAACATACTAAATTGATTGTGCTAAGAAGATCTGAACACCCTCTTTAACTATACTCATAGTATTAAGTTGGCATACATAACTGCTGCAGAGATGGCCCAAATGTACGAGTACAGTTCCTGTTGGAACTTTGAATTTTAAGTTGGTACAAGAAGATCCCACTACTGTCAATGAAATCTGACCCACAGGCTCTCCTCTCCAGAGCTAAGAAGAGACTCGTGAGTGAATGTGAATCAACTGACCTGCTGAATCAGCACAGGCTCCGAATGATGTGATTGCATATCGGCCTCCTCTTCAGCAGAGCCCACAGTTCCCTGAGTCACAGTAGGTAAATACACTTACATTCAGCAGGACTTGTATTGCAGTAAAACGAAGTACCCCATGGCCTTTTTACTAGTCAAGGTGAAACTATGTGAAATGAGAGTATGTTGGGTTTACAGTTGGTTGATCAGGAAGTGTCGTGTGCCGGCTGACAGACTGTCAACTTAGCAGGATCACCTTAGAGACAAACCTCTGGGCGTGTCTGTGAAGTGGTTTCTAGACTGAGTGAAATGAGGAAAGAAGATCTGTAGCTAGAGTTTTCCTGCCTGGCCCACAGTCAGGACAAATCTTTCTCACCTGCCAGTCCCACAGCCTCTCAGACCAGACCAAGTAAACACAGAGACTTATATTGCTTACAAACTGTATGGCCATGGCAGGCTTCTTGCTAACTGTTCTTACAGCTTAAATTAATCCATTTCCATTAATCTATACCATGCCACATGGCTCGTGGCTTACCGGCATCTTCACATGCTGTTTCTCATCGTGGTGGCTGGCAGTGTCTCTCTCACTCAGCCTTCCACTTCCCAGCTCTATTCTCCTCCTTGTCCTGCCTATACTTCCTGCCTGGCCACGGGCCAATCAGTGATTTATTTATTGACCAATCAGCAACACATTTGACATACAGACCATCCCACAGCAAAGATCCACCCTAAACGTTAGCAGCACCATGCAAGGACAGGTCCCAAAGTGAATTGGGAGAGAAAGTGAGCTAATACCAGCATTCAACTCCCTGCTTCCTGCCTAAAAATGCATGTGGATCACTTCCTGCATGCTCGCGGAGTCATGTGTGCTCAAACTGTGAGTCACAGCCCTTCCTTCAGGTGTCTTTGTCAAGTATGTCACAGCGACAAAAAAAATGCAACAGTCTTTCCTCACTGTCAGTACATAAAGTTATATGTATTCAAGGTGCAAAACTATTAACACATCTATTATGCCTACATAATAATGGTGGGGGCGCTGAAAAGATTCATCCTACACCTTTAAAATGTATAAAATCTCTTAAGAATTCTAATTTTTTTAAAGTTTGTTCTAAACTCCATTTTTTTTTTTTAGAATTGCATTGATTGATTGATTGATTGAGTGAGTGTGTGTTTCAAACTTCCAGGTGATGTTCAGAACTTGGCAGCACAGGAGACAGCAGAGTCCGAGGTTAAGAATGGTACCAATGTCACCTGAAGCTGACACTTGGCTTCAAGGCCTCTTTTTTTAATTTGCAAACTTTTTTTGGTAAAAGTTTAAGTCTTTATCTAACAATCTTATGGTTTTTAAAAGCCTCAAGTTGCAAGAATGCTGGAGGGAAAGAGAAAATAGGAAAGGAAAACAGTAATGAAGGTAGCTTTCTGGTTGATTCAGTCCCTAGCACCACATAAGGCAAGCACAGTAGTGCAAACCACTGAGGAGGTAGAGGTAGGAGGGTCAGAAGTTCAGGGTCATCCTCAGCTGCCTCAAAAGACAAAGCAGGGCCTGGCTCAGAGGTTGGGAGCACTGGCTATTCTTCCAGAGGACCGAGGTTCCATTCCCAGCACCCACATTGTGGTTTACAACTTTTTGTGGCTCCATCCAGGGGATCTGACACCCTCTTCTGGTCTCCTAGGGTACTGGACACACATGTGGTGCACAGACATACATGCAGACAAAATTCCCATACACATAAAAGAGAAACATAAGACAGCAGAATAGACAAAAAAAATTATTTCCACAAAACATGTGAAATGTGCCCTGGAGACTTGAGTGCCTGACAGAAAAGAAAGATGCTCGAATTAACCAGATTCCCACACACGTATGGAGGAAGAAAATCTCTGTTAAAAAACAGGGGGTCTGGGAAGACAGCTCAGTGAGAGAAGTGTTGGCCACGTGAGCATGAAGACCCGGGTTCGGATCCCCAGCACCCACTTGAAAGCCACGTGTGGTGATGCGTGTCTATAAGGAGACAGGCAGATCCCTAGAGCTCACTGGCAAATCCGCATAGCCAATTGGTGAGCACCAGGTTTGCAAGAGACTTTCTCTCAAAGAATCAATTGGAAAGCAATTGAGGGAGACACCAGGTGCTGACTTCCTGCCCACAGGCATATAAGTCTGTGGCAGAGCATTCAACCAGTGTATACAAGCCCCATGTTACATCCTCAGCATTGGAAAATTAAAAAAAAAAAGAAAGGAAGACCCCCACAAAATACTATCACCCCCAGAACTGAGTCTTCTTGCTTCTGCAGTATGTGGTTCCCAGGGTGCCTACCTGCTCCAAGCTTTACACCGCTATGGTGCATTTCTCAGACAGACTCTGCCCACAAAGTTCATAGTCAGCCTTCCTATGCGAAGACGGTGCTCAGTCTTACAAGCAGTCTTACAAGTCTAGGCAATACAGTACACTGATTAAGACTATGAACTCTTGTTTTTTACTCCCCCCTTTTCTCACCTGAAAATAAGGATGATTCCACACAGGGTTATTAGCATCCTTCTGCTTCAGTTCTTTATAAGATAAGGTCCTACTACTATGTATCCCAGGTGGCTTGCTGGAAACTGGCACTGGACAGTTGGCCTTGATTTCACGCTCCTGCCTTAGCCTCCTGGTTACTGATGGCACTTGTCACGAATCATACTGTTTTCACTGAGAATGGTGCTTGACTCAGAGCAGAAAGTGTGCTCGACATGAAGTGCTCAGCAAAGATCCTGGCACAAGATGGCTAGTACGCAAGGTAGCTGTCATAGGCTCAAGCAATCCTCCTGCCTCAGTGTACCAAAGTAGCTAGGACTATAGATAAGATACAATCAGATCATGACCTAAATTACTTTAAAAAATTTTTTTCCAGCATTTGGGAACAGAGGCAGGCTGATCTCTGTAAATTCCAGGACAGTCTGGTCTACATAATGAGTTCCAGGTCCGCCTGAGCTACACAGTGAGTTCCAGGCCAGCCTGAGCTACACAGTGAGTTCCAGGACAGCCTGAGCTACACAGTGAGTTCCAGGACAGCCTGAGCTACACAGTGAGGTCCAGGACAGCCAGTGCTATGTCCCAAAAATACATCAACAAGAACAACAACAACAAAACCAAACCAAACAAAATGCATAACATAATTTTGCCTTTTTTCAATCTCTTTTAAAAAAACGTTTTATTTTTACTTCCTGTATATGAGTGGTTTGCCTAAAAATATGTCTGGGCACCAAGTGCATGTCTAATGCTTAAAAAGATCAGAGGAAGGTGCTGGATCCCTCATGACTGGAGGTTGTAAGCTGCCATGTGGGTGCAGGCAATGAAACCTGAGTTCTCTGCAAGAGCAACAGATGCTCTTAACCACTGGACCATCTCTGCAACACCAGCCCCCTCTTTCCCTAATTTCAATCTTAAGAGGAATTTACAGAAAGAAACAATGTTAAATCATTCCTTTCTTCCAAATGTCATTCACCAAATCTTCTCAGATCTTTCTTCTCAGTGCTTGGGAGGCTGAGGCAGGCAGCCGGGCCAGCCTGGTTTATGAGCTCTGTCCAGCCTGGCTACAGCAGACACTTTTTCTCCTTGGACATTTCATAAAACATTTCTAACTTAATACATAAGACACTTGAGCAAATGACTTCAATATATAGAAGAAAAAATCCACAGGTTTCAGAAAACCATAGAAACCTCTCTCTACCTTACCTGTATCGTTTGCAAGAGAGTTAGGGTCAGATCCCCCAAGGGTAGCTTCAAACTCCTCCTGGAGACGATAGGCCCTTTGCAGCAGGGCTTCAAGCTTATGGATGAATTCTGCACTAATTATATCCTACAAAGAGAGAAGAAGAACAGTCACACACAGCAACTATCACACTCACGTTAACACTCTAAACACAGAATGTGACTTCCACAGAGAAACTCGCCGTGTAGATAGAGCTGGTGCTGGGTTCACGGGTGCCCGTGGCCAAACCTAATCATAAAATTCCAGCCATACCTATTGTTTTTGTAATAGAGAGGCAGAACTGGGTCCTGACTGATCCTTTAAGTAGACTAAGAGTTTTCAGACTTGAGCTTATATAAAACTTGCCTAGAAGATTTGCTAAATTAGATTTAGTGCCCCTTGTCCTGGCTCCTGATTCCACAATCCACTCCAATTTTGAAATGATCAATAAAGACCCAGTTCTACCTTCGGTATTACAAAACCAATAGAAATTCATTGCATCTAATTCACTGCATCTGCTGCGTCTACACATCCTAGGGAAGTCTGCACACGTGAAGGTTTGGCACTGGAGAGTTGGCCAACAGTTCAGAGCACTTGGTGCTTTTGCAGAGGACCTGGGTTTGATTCTCAGCACCTGCATGGCAGCTCACACCGGTTTGCAACTTTAGTTCTAGAAGACCCAACACTCTCTTTTGCATGCAGCTGGCACACTCATGGTACACATACATACATGCAGGAAAAACACTTATCTGTATAAAATAATAAAACATTTTTTTAAAAACCAAAAGTGCTTAAAAGCTGGATAGAAAATGCCCAGCCAGAAGCCCTTCATGCTGGGCATGATCCCAGCACTGGGGAAGCAGAGGCAGACAAGCTCTGAGTGTTTCAGACCAGCCTCGTCTACTAAAAGTGCTAAGTCAGCAGGGGGCTACATAGTGAGACCCTATCTCAAATCAAAACAAAACAAAAGCCCAGGGGCTGGAGAGATGGCTCAGCGGTTAAGAGCACTGGCTGCTCTTCCAAAGGTCCTGAGTTCAATTCCCAGCAACCACATGGTGGCTCACAACCATCTATAATGAGATCTGGCGCCCTCTTCTGGCCTGCAGGCAAAACATGCAGGCAGAACACTGTATACATAATAAATAAATAAATCTTTAAAAAAAATTTTTAAAGAAGCCCACAAGTCTCTCACGTAGTCCCAAGCTGGAAAAGCAAAAAACTTGTATTAAGTGCCCAGAAAGAGGCTCTTCCAATAATCCGAAGCAGGCCATCCTTACATCTACGCTTTCTTCAGCAATGGCATCTCCAGCTCCCAGCTTAACAGAGCTGCAGGCTTCCTCTTCAGCCTGTCTACTGCGGAAGGTCAGAGCTTGTTCCCATCGACGCAATGCCTCTTCAAACAATTCCATACCTAAAGATTAAGAGCAGAGTGACTGTAAATGAGCAAAACCATGTTTCCTCAACATGTAAAATGACAAAAACAGAAACTGGAAGGAAAGTCACAGACAGGGTACTATTATTGCTGTGATAAGTATGATCATGTGGTTTGTAGGCTTGCAGGAGGAGTGTGTTTATGCTACAGGCTAAAGATGCCCGAAAATGCTGTAAGCAGAGCTTAATGGGCCATTCTGGAGGAAGTGTGGAAGACCAGAATGCAGAAAGAGACGCAGCCAATGGAAGCCGGCTCGTGAGGTTTCAGAAAGGAATAAGGACTCTATTGGGAACTGTGCAAAGGGCTATTGAGTTTACATTCTGACAAAGAATCCACTTGCTCTCTGGCCATGTCATGAGATCCTTTGTGAGACTGAATCAATACGTAATGAACTAGAGGGGTGTAGTGGGACACACCTTTAAGCTCAGCACTCAGGAGGCAGAGGCAGGTGGATCTGAGTTCAAGGCCAGCCTGGTCTACAGAGTGAGTTCCAGGTAAATCAAATTACAAGTATAACAGAGAGGTTTGGGCAGCTGGGACACACAGATAAGAGTGTGATATAAAGAGTGATGTCATGGAGGAGTGATGTTGTCACAAGCCCAAGGCATGCTGGGAGCCACGAGACACGGAAGAGGACAGTACTGCATCCTCTCACAGGCCTCCTAAGAAATGCGGCTGATTGACACCTTGATTTCAGCTTAGTAATAATGATTTTGGACTTCTGGCTCCAGAACTCTGAGTGAACTGATTGCTGGTTTTTTGTTGTTGTTGTTGTTGTTTTTTAAAGTCTCTGTATTTAAGGTAATTTATTATATCACAATATATAATATAATTTATTATATCTCAAGAAACTAGTACAGCTGGTGATGTTATATAGCGTAGATTCAACAGACAAAGGCCATTTTAAAATTACAGTTGATTCTCTTAGAAGAAATCACTGGTTTTGGTTTTTCTTTTTTTCTTTTCCCCCCACAGTGCTAGGGATCAAACCCAGGACACTAACAAGGCAGCCTAGCTCTCTGCCACTGAGCACCTCCCCAGCCTCAACTCACTTTCCTTTTACCTTCAAATGAAACCTGATGACAGTGTCTTAGAACTCAGAAGTTCTATACCCACCCATCAGGTACAAATTCTCGGGAGTGGTCACAGGAATGTTAACAAGTTTGATGTCATCCTCATCTGCTTTGTCCCAGGAATTAGAATTTCCACAAGCACAGCTATGACAGGAATTAACACTCTGAACCTGAAATGAAGACCAAGGAAAGTGGATCATCGTGCATGCATGGGTATACACACACACACATACATGTGCGGTCTCCTATATAGCCAGCAATGACCTTGAATGTTTCATCCTTCTGCCTCTACCTCCCACATGCTGGGATTACAGGTGTGTGCCACTATACCTGGTTTTTAATCAGTGCTAGGGATAGAGCCCAGGGTTTCCATGCCAGGAAAACACTATCCTGATTCAAACCTGCTATGGTAGTTTATATTTACCAATTATTTACATATGTTCTATAATTATAGTCCAGGTAAGTTCTACCTGAAGAAATAATTGATATTATATTCAAATATTCTGATATTACATTCAAATTTAGTACTCACATGACTCTTAACTACTCTGGCCCTGTTGTTAAAAAATATATAAGTAGAACAATATTTTGAGAATAAATCAATATTTTCACCAAAAATCAGGTGACGACTTGACAAACCTTTACTGCGTCAGTACTTACAGATGGTAACTACTCCAACCTATACTCTGTCTTTGGGGATTCGGACAATGTTAAACGATGATGTAGAGGTGCCCCTTCTGTAATAAAACCCGCTGTGCCAACCATGCCAGTCACTGTCCGCAGATGATCCCAGTCTCTAACTCCAGCTCTGTTCTCTGGAGAGAAATCTAAATACAGATCTCGTGCCTTTGGTGACTCCACTTGCTTTTCTGCTGGCATCATAAACTTAATGAGTCCAGCCTTCCTCCCGCAGTAAAACTTCCTCCTCCAAGTTCATCAATACCTCCATTCCCATAATTTCTCAAATTTTAAAAAAAGAAGTCATTTTTAAAACAACTCTTACCACATCTTTAGATTTCATTTTTTAAATTTGTTTTTATTTTTAATGATGTGTATGCATGGGTGCCTGTGTGGAGCTGTTTGCACATGGGTGCAGTTGCCCAAGGGAGTCAGGAGACTGTGTTAGACCCCCTAGAGCTGGAGTCACAAGTGGTTATGAGTTGCTAAACATAGGTGCTGAGATCCAAACTCAGGTCCTCTGCAAGAGCAGGACATACTCCTGGCTCCCGAGCTGCCTCTCCTGCTCCCTTGACCTCATTCATCAAGTTTTGTGGACCTAGATCCTGACTGCCTTCTGAGTCACCACCCTGATTTAAGTACTACCTGCTGTCTAAAAGGCAGAACCCGCCTCACAGCCTTTCGTGGAATGGAAGCTGGCTGAGCAAGAGCAAAGAGGTGACTGAAGAAGTCCCCTGCAGCTACTTCTGCTAAGAGAGGCACTTTAACACTCACTTGGGAAATGCCGTCGCAGCTACAGGAGTATCATCTGCAACATGCTGTCAGCTCATAGAACTGCAAGTCTGCAAACCCCCAGTCGAGGTGTTCCTACTCTGCCGCAAGTCCTCAGATTTTAGCGACTTTTCACTGGGCACAGGTGACTCTCTGACTCCACAGTCTAACTACTCAGGAGGCTAAGGTAACAGAAGGACTTGAGCCCAAAGGTACAGGGAGAGCTCGACAAGGCAAGGAGACCCTCTCACCCACGTGCTGGAACTACAGGCATGAGCCATCACATCCAGTCCAGGAAAAAGGATGCCTGCACCTACTTTTGAATTAACACTACCACATCAAAGCTATTCTCAAAGGACCAAATGGACCGTATCACTTACTCAATGAAACTGGACACCAGCAGCAAAGGAAACAGACTCAACCAGACTGTCCCCTAAGAGCAGCAGATATGTGATACTTAAGCTAATAAGAGATATGTAAGCAAATGTAAGAATAATAATAATAAAGTATGTTTTTCTTACAGAGGCTAAGCTCTGGGCAGAACCCGAGTATTTGCTGAAAAGTCCTCCATTAGCGTAGTTACAAGACTGAGATCCTTTGTCCTTGGTGGAACTTAGTGACAAGGTCAAGTTCTGTCTACTGCTGGAGCAGCTGGAACCTGGTAAACAAACACACCAAAACCAAAAGCATCAGCAATTCCAACAGTAACTCTCAGGGAAAAAACTCAGGTTATATTCATTCAGAAAGCACCTGATTTTTTTTTTTTAGAACTCATTTTATTCAGGCACATAAATTATTAGATGTGCAACGTTATTAAAATATACACTTCTAATGTCTGTATGTTATATATACAAATACCAGATTTTATAACCAAGTAAAACATTCAGCAAACTGTTCAGGAAAGTTTTGAAAGACTTACTATAATCAGTGTAAAACTATTGGCAACTACCTCACAAGCTGTCAGTTTAAAATGTAAGCACTTTGTTCCCTAAATCACAACTTCTCCTTAGATGTGTTTGGTTCTGTGCACTTCTGACCCCTCCACCACTTGCACACTCATCTGCAGAGTACACACCAGGTCTAGCTTCTCTCAGCAAGACAGGGCAGACTCTTCTGTTTCAAATTCCAGTACACATATGTTATATGACCTTGGTAACTTCTTCATATGCTAGTGTTTTAAATACATAAATGAGAAGAACATGGCACTGTAGTTATCATTCATAGAGCTACTATAAAAATTATATAAAATGCTGAATATAGTGCTTGTCTGAGATCTAATAAAATCTCAATAAATAAACAATGATTCACTCTGTGTGCTGATGAATAAATCACAAAACCACAAAATACATGAAACAGTAAAATACTAAGACATCTAGCCTGGCCAAGGAATTATTATTATTGTTGTGTGTGTGAGAGGATCAAAAGTTCAAAGCCAGCCTCAGAACACAGTGCTGTGGAATAATTCTTTTGTTCACCATGAATATGTATTACTCTAATTGGTTAATAAAGAGTTGACTGGCCAACAGCTAGGCAGGATTTTCAGGGCAGAGAGAACCCTGGGAAGAAGGGCAGAGTCTGAGGAGTCAGAGGAGATGCCATGAGACACAGAGAGGGAGCAGGATGGGAGGTACATAGATGAGTTAAACAAGCCTCAGGGCAGCACATAGATAAATAGAAATGGGTTAATTTAAGTTATAAAAGCTAGCTAAAAACAAGTCTAAGCTATTGACCGAGCATTTATAATTACTATTAAGTCTCTGTGTGGTTAATTGGGGAGTGGCTGGTGGGACAGAAAAGTTCAACTACAACATAGTGAAGTCAAGGCCAGCTGGGGCTACATAAGACTGTCAAAAAAATCTCATAAATAAAAAAAATCACAAACACCATAAAGGTAACAGAGACAGAATTCAATTACAGTATATTTGTACAAATGTAATAATTACTATGTTTTACAAATGACAGAATACACTATTGACTTAGAATGATATTCTCATACATTATCAAATACTTCAAAAGCAGGTTGTGAATGTAGTATCATGGTTCTACAGGTTTTTTTTTTAATTTTTATATTTTTAAAATATGTGTATATGTATCATTGTGTGGGTATGTTCACATGAGTGAGGTACTCAGAGGCCAGTGGTGTCAGATCCTTTGAAGCTGCCAGATGTGGATGCTGAGAAGGGAAGTCAGTTCCTCTGGAAGAACGGTTCTCAGTCGTAACAGCTGTGCCATCTCTCCAGCCTCTGAAACTGTATTTTACTATATAATCTATTTTTTTTTTTTTTTTTTTTTTTTTTTTTTTTTTTTTTGGTTTTTCGAGACAGGGTTTCTCTGTGTAGCTTTGCACCTTTCCTGGAACTCGCTTTGGAGACCAGGCTGGCCTCGAACTCACAGAGATCCGCCTGGCTCTGCCTTCCGAGTGCTGGGATTAAAGGCGTGCGCCACCACCGCCCGGCCATTACTATATAATCTATTGACACATACTTTTTGTTTTGTTTTGTTTTTCAAGACAGGGTTTCTCTGTGTAACAACAGCTCTCCTGTTCTGGAACTCCCTCTGTAGACCAGGCTGGCCTTGAACTCGTAGAAATCTGCCTGCCTCTGCCTCCCAGGTGCTGGGATTAAAGGTGTGCGTCACCACTGCCCTGCGACAGGCATCACATTTTAAGTCAGTATACTTATATGTAGATGTACTTGTAGAGATGTATAACAAAGAATTGTCAGCCACTTCTGCGTGGCAGGACCCTAAGTGGCTTTAATGTATCTGTCTTTTCTCCTCCATACTTTCTAATCTTACAGACCCGTGCTCCAGCTGTGATACATAGTATCTCATGGTCCACAGATTTAATCTGGAAATTTCCACAAACCTTTGTCTGATGCTGCTCTTTTAGTGTGTTCAAGTAGGAGGTGCTCTGGTTCCCACGGTAGTATTTTTTCTTTCTTTTTTCCACGTCTTCTTTTAAAGTGATAGGCAAAAAAAATTACAGATACAGCACTCACAGCAGTTACCACAAACAACCTTTTAGCTACTGGTGAAAATTTGATCTGGAAAAGATTGGAAAAAAAAATTAGCTGTTGCAGGATATTTGATCACCCCGTGAACCCTGAGATTGCGTTATTTACTGGAAAAACCTGTTTCTAGTTCTGGTTCAGCCCTAGATTACACCTTTAATCCAAGAGCTTTCCGCTTGAATACTGGAAACAGGATTAAATAAAGTCAACCATAGGTCAAGAGGTGGAGCAAGCAACCAGTGGACAAGAAGTTAACATAGGGTTATTAAGAAAAAAATCGCTAGGTGGTGGTGGTGCACACCTTTAGTCCCAGCACTCGGGAGGCAGAGGCAGGCGGATCTCTGTGAGTTCCAGGCCAGCCTGGTCTACAGAGTGAGGTCCAGGACAGGCACCAAAGCTACACAGGGAAAAAGAAAAGAAAAAAATCATAGAGAGTAAGAAGGAGTCAGGAGGCAGACAGACAGATGCACAGGAAACAGAAGGGAGGGTGTTTTGAGATGGCCTAGGAGAAAGAAGGCTTCTGGGACCTCAGCTAAGGAGGAAGGTCAGCTGGGTGCTTCCTCTGCCTCTCTGATCAACAGGCTTTCACCCCAGCATCTGGCTCCGAAGTCTTTACTGGTAAAAATCAAACGATTCAGATTTTGTTCAAAACAATAATTAGCCTTTGATTCCAGCACTCAGGAGGCAGAGGCAGGCAGATCTCTGAGTTTGAGGCCAGCCTGGTCCACAGAGCCAATTCCAGGACAGCCAGGGCTATACAGAGAAACCCTGTCTCGAACCCCCCCACAAACAAAAAAAAAAAACCCGCAAAAAAATAAAATTAGATCTTATTTATCTGTAAACATTATAAAGAGCCTATGTATCCCTCTTTCAGCCCCAGCCAATCTGTTTTAATTTAACAGGCTATCACTCACTGCTCTGAAGTTATCTAAGTTTGAAATAAATATTATTAAAGTCAATAGATACATAAAATAATTCAACTCTGTGAACATTTCTTGACCAAATGATGATTAATACGTGAAACTGAATCTTTTTTCTTAGAGGGGATGGGAGAGGTGGGGTGTTTGGGTTTTCTGTGTTTTTCAGGCTGTCCTGGAACTCTGTAGACCAGGTTAGCCTCAAACTCAGAGATCTGCCTGCCTCTGCCTCCTGAGTGCTGGATCAAAGGTGAGCACCACCACCACCTGAAACTTCTACATAAACAATTAGCAAGATTTTTAACTATAGAAATGAAATCAGACTTTAAAAGTGAGCTCATTTTTTAAAACATATCCAGAATTATAAGTAAACCAAAGTTAACTTATTTCTAAATACCACAGGAATAAGTGATTTTATTCATTAATTAATTAGAAAATATTTTTAGAACCCTGCAATCTAGACAGTCACACCACTTAGCACCAGCGCCCTCTCCTGGTCTCCATGGACCAAGACATGTACACAATGCCCAGCATACACACAGGCAAAACACCATAAACACAAAATAAAAAGGGTTTTAAATAATTTATTTATTATTTTACGTGCATTGGTGCTTTCCCTGCAGGTATGTCCTTGTGAGAGAGCCAGATCCCCTAGAACGGAGTTACAGACAGCTGTGAGCTCCCATGTGGGGGCTGGGAATTGAACCCGGGTCCTCTGGAAGAACAGCCAGTGCTCTTAACCTCTAAGCCGTCTCTCCAGCCCCCAAATAAAAATATTTTTAAATTAGAATAAAAGATATTGACAACAGACTACAACTCACAGAAGGAGAGAATGATCTGGAAACTGCACACCTGTAGGGTGGCCGCCATAGTCAGACAGGACCACAAGCATTAGCAAGACTGTGGGATGTCAAAAAGCGCCCCTGCTGTGGGAACCAGTGGAGCAGCTCCCCACAAGATGAAAAGAATGAACATGTGATTCAGAAATTCTACCTCTGAAAAGTAATTCTGAAAAAAACTGAAATCGGGATCTTTCTTGCCTTCCTTTCTTTGTGTTTGGGTGCCTGTGCACCCAGGGGCCTTCATACTTGCACTGAGACATCTCCCTGTTGGAGACCGACTCCGGACAGCTGTGTCTTGAATTTTGTGTGACCTTCCTTACTTTATCAAACCTTGCAAAAAACAGGTTCCTGGCCTAACCGCGGGCTGTACAACTTCCTGGAGTAGGTGCTAATCAGCCAGCTGCAGGGGCCTGGGACCAAAGCGACCTCACCCGTCCTTAGGAATTTTACATTCTTCTCTCCTTTTGCTTCCTCTGCTCCCCCTCCCTGCCTGAAGCCCTGCTTATAAGCCTCAATACCAGTCAATAAACGAGACCTTGACGCGACTCAGACTGACTCTGTCTTCCCTTATGCGCCTGGTCTCCTTTCTCTCTCGCCCCCATTGATCTTTCAGGAGGTGCCTCCTCGGGTCTCCCCAATAACCTGGCCCGCGGGACGGGTCATCTCCCCAGCACCATTTTTTCCCACTTATTATTATTTTTTTTAAACAGGAGTCTCTTTATAGTTCAGACTGTCCTTAAATTCCTGGTCTTCCTGCCTTTGCCTCCGGAGTGCTGAGATCACAGGTGTGTGATACCGTGACTGGCTAAAAGCAGTCTTCCAGAGATTATTTATATATCCATGATCATAGAAGCTTTCTTTATTCAAGATAGCTAAAACATGGAAACAACCCAAGTAGTTCACAGACAGATGGAAATACAAGCAAAAATGTGTATATCCATACAGTGGAATATTAATTCCATATTAAAAGGAAATTCCAATATGTGCTACAATGTGGATAAATCTTGACGATATTATGCTATTACAATACACGAGTCATTAAAAAATAATGAATAAATGAATGGGATTAAAGGTGTATGTCACCACACCTGGATAAGAAAGGCAAACTTTTTAAAGTAATACAGTATATATATACATATTTTTAATGAAATATACTTATATGTATATAATATAAAAATTTACATATAAATATATTATGAAAATACGTATATGTACATATACATATACACAAAATAATTTTTAAAAGTATAATTTAACTACTTTAGCATTTTGACTATGCTGTGTGAAACCCTTGGGGGCTGGGAGTGGCAGCCCGCCTGCTTCCAAGCTCTAGGTTCAAATCCCTAGTATCAATACACAAAAAAACCTCAAGGAAAAGAAAAATCACCAACAAATTACACTGAACAACACAAACACACTATTCAAATTCGTTTCCCTTCTGTTTACCTGGGAGAGAGAACAGTACCAGGGCACAGGGACACCCAACACTCTGAGGATGACCATCTTCAAGGAGAACTGCGATTCTCTGACTGTTTCTTCCGACACGACTCCCCTGTCTGATCTTAACTCAACGAAACAGAAATTCATCAGCCATAGGGATTTCCGGTTGCTTTATCCATGAAAGATGAAAAGTTAAATTCTTCCCAGGTGTGGTGGTGGTTCATGCCTTTGATTCCAGTTCTTGGGAGGGAGAGGCAGGCAGATCTCCGTGAGTTTGAGGTTAGTGTGATCTACATGGCGAATTCTAGGCCAGACAGAGATACGTAATGAGGACCTGTCTCAAAAAAAAGTTAAACTCTGGTAAAATTGGAGAACCGATTCCTGCAAGTTGTTCTCTGATGCCCACCAGAGCACCTAATAAATAAATATAATAAAAATATTTAAACTCTATCAGTTTTGTGGTTAATTATGCAGGCATGATATTGCAATGGAGCTAAAACTGCATTTATCAGTTACCAAAATAGCAAAGGAGAATGTGAGCTGTGTTTAAACTTAATTGTAACCAAAAGGCTAACAGTGATGAAAGTGGGGGAGATTGAATCTTCAAATGCAAGTCAGAAATTTTCCTTAGAAACAACAGGTCCTACCACTGAGCAGGATGAATGAGAACACACCATAAGTACATACGTGTATGAAGATTCCATGAGCAAAAAACCTTTTCTTTGTATGTTAACCTAAAACAATTTTGGGGAGAGAAGAGGGGGGCATGGGGAGAACTGCATGTTCTAGAGCAGAGGTTCTCAACCTTCCTAGTGCTGTGACCTTTAACACAGTTCCTCATGTTGTGGTGACCCCCCACACACCATAAAATTACTTTTGTTGCTACTTCACAACTGTAATTTTTCTACTGTTATGAATGGTAATGTGAATGCCTGTGTTTTCTGATGGTCTTAGGCAACCCCATGAAAGGATTATCCGATACTATAATGGGATCACGACCCACAGGTTGAGAACCACTGTTCTAGATTCTCTTTCTAGCTAAAGTCTATCTGTGTTAGTATCTTAAAATCTAATTCTTCTTGATTTCCTTCACGTAAGTGTGCATGGGGTACTGACTGGAATCTAGAATACATTCTTGGGCACGGAAAGAAAACTCAGAATTCAGTAGCTGGACTAATTTTCACACATTTATCCTCACATTCCTTCATTTAAACAAGATTCAACAACTGTCATATATATATATATATATATATATATATATATTACATAATATATAATAAATGGACGATTATTTATTATATACATGTGTGGATGTCTCAGGGCAACTTGTGGGTCTCTTCTACCACATGGGTCCCAAGGACCAAACTTAGATTTTTGGCAAGTTCCTTAACCTGCTGAGCCATCTCACTAGCTCTTAACATTCTTGACACCAGAGGTCAGATAATGAGCTGGGCAGTGGTGGCGCACACCTTTAATCCCAGTACTCAGGAGGCAGAGGCACTTAGATCACTGAGCTTGGGGCCAGTTTGGTCTACAGAATGAGTTCCGGGCCACATGGAGAAACCCTGTCTCAAAAAACAAAAACAGAGTCAAATATGTATGTGCTTATGTTTTATATTAGAAATGAGGAGTCTCTTCTGTACTCAGGCTGGCTGTCTACCACTGGGCTGAAGCACTCAGTCTCTAAAGAGCTGAAACTACATGCACTGGCCACCACACCCAACTACTAAGAGTCCGATATGTAAAAAAGCAAATGCTTGGAGAGCCAGATTAAAAACATGATGCATGCTGGGGACAGAGCTCAAGCACCTGTCACAGAAGCATTAGGACCAGAGAACCCATGCAAATCCTGGTTAGGCTTAGAGGATTGCCTGCGACTCTAGCCTCCGATTTAGAGACACGGGATCTCTAGAGCAAGCTTGCTAACAAGACTAGCTGTGCATGGTTCTGGGTCTGACTGAGAGGACCCGACTCAATGCAACAAGAAAAATCAACCAAGGATGGTGATGCTCAGCGTCCAACTCCGGCCTCCACAGGCACATGCACTCACATATATGCCTACAAACTTCCACTTCCTCCCACAAATGTTGGGGAAAACAAAGGTTCAGAACAACCCTTTAATACAGTTTTTCTTGTTGTAGTGACCCCCCCAACCATAAAATTTTCATTGCCACTTCATAACTGCAATTTTGCTACTGCTATGTATCACAATGTAAATATCTGTGTTTTCGGATGGTCTTAGGTGACCCCTGTGAAAAGCTTGCTCAACCTCACAAAGGGGTCACGACCCACACGCTGAGAACCACTGGTCTAGAGTCCAGGTATCTACAGAATTACCAGTTCACTGTTGTTATTATCGTAACTAGTTGCACACAGTAAATACATTTAAAAAATACAAATCAGCTCACAACTGTAATTAAGAAATGCTCTGTCTGGCGGAGAGAGATGTTCAGCAGTTAAGAGCACTGGCTGTTCTTCCAGAGGCCCTGGGGCTGATTGTCAGCACAACCATTTCTAACTCTATCCCAGGGAATCTCACGCCCTCTTCTGGACTCCATGGGCACTGCAGGTACCTAGTGCACACACATACATGCAAGCAAAACACCCATGTATTTAAGGAGCTAAACAAACAAACAAAACAACAACAACAACCCCCAGAAACACATCTGGTGATGAAAACGCTTATTTGAATTTGTTGCAGTACTTTGTTTTTGAAGTCTGGCTCGCTCGTTTCATTTCACCAAGGAAAGCTGAAAATCACGGAGGAAGCTGAATCCAAGTGTAATCATAACTAACTGAAAAACTTCAAAAGCAGGCATTTCAAGTACTCACAGAAGTATAACTTAAATAAACATGAAAGCAGTTTCATGACTATTCAAATTTGTAAAGGAAATCTTCCAAACACTGGCCTGTTAGAAGTGTCGCCAACAGAGTTTCCATTTTAACCATCCTAAAATTCGATTCTACAACTCTTGACTCTTATTGTAAGAAGTAAATCTAAACTACTGAGCCAATTTGACAGGAAGCAGAAATCTACACAACTTAAGACTGAGGAGGAGAGAGTCTCTCTGTCTCTCTCTCCCTCTCTCTTTGCAGGGCGGGGGCAGGATTCCTTGTAGGCAGGTCAGGCCTGGAATTCACTACGTGGGGGAAGAATGACCTTGAATCTCTGATCCTCCTGCCTCCACCTCCCTAGCTGAGATCACTTACATGCGTGCACCAACTCCAACGGTTATCTGAGGAGATGTTTTCAATGCAGTAGAGATCATTACTGACAATAACCTGATAATAAGAATAGTCTGTGAGTCTAAAACAAGACGGCTAGTGGGCACACCCGTAATCCTATCACTTGGGAGGCTGAGGCAGGAGGATTACCACCAGCTGGAGCCTGATGTCGTTTTCACAGTGAGTTCCAGACCAGTCTACAGGGTGGGATGCTGTCTGAATAAAATAATCACAATAAAAACAAGCTGTCTGGGGCGTCTCACAGTAGAGTAGATGCTCAGCGATTTTGGTCAGTGGGCCAAGGCTTCTCTGCAGGCGCCCGAGAGGCCGTCATCTAGCACCTAGGCAGCTGCTCAAGGTCCCCGCCACCCGGATCTCCGCCCCGCACTTACCCTGCGCTCTCTGCACCCCGGATCTCCGCCCCGCACTTGCCCTGCTCTCTCTGCACCCCGATCTCCGCCCCGCACTTACCCTGCTCTCTCTGCACCCCGGATCTCCGCCCCGCACTTACCCTGCTCTCCCCACCCCGGATCTCCGCCCCGCACTTACCCTGCGCTCTCCCCACCCCGATCTCCGCCCCGCACTTACCCTGCTCTCTCCCCACCCCGATCTCCGCCCCGCACTTACCCTGCTCTCTCCCCACCCCGATCTCCGCCCCGCACTTACCCTGCTCTCTCTGCACCCCGGATCTCCGCCCCGCACTTACCCTGCGCTCTCCCCACCCCGATCTCCGCCCCGCACTTACCCTGCTCTCTCTGCACCCCGGATCTCCGCCCCGCACATACCCTGCTCTCTCTGCACCCCGGATCTCCGCCCCGCACTTACCCTGCTCTCTCTGCACCCCGGATCTCCGCCCCGCACATACCCTGCTCTCTCTGCACCCCGGATCTCCGCCCCGCACTTACCCTGCTCTCTCTGCACCCCGGATCTCCGCCCGGTACTTGCCGGGCTCTTCCCGCACCCGGGTTCTCTTCCGCACGCCCGCACCTGCGCCTTGTCGGTCTCCCAGTCGCAGCCCCCACAGAGCAGCTTCGGGTTGTGGGAGGCGGAGTCCTTCCGGGGTCAGGACGCAAAGGTAGGGAAAGTGGAGGGTCACTGGCGGACTGCGTGAGGGGCTACGTGCGAGGTCGCTCCCGCCATATTTGTAGAGGGCAGTGGGCTCTATCTAGAATTGCAACCCTTTATACACCTGTCAATGGGTAGTATGGGAGTTGGTAACCTTTTAGGAGTATAGGACCATTCAGCGAATCTGGTTAAGACTATGGAGCTTTTCTCTGTAAAAATGGTTATGATCGTTCATTATTAAAGAAAATATAATAAACACACAGCTTGCGTGTGCATGGACACACATGGACAGCTTTTTGAGCCCCAGAAACCCATCGTGGATCCCAAATCAAGAATTTCTGGGGGCTGGAGAGATGGCTTAGTGGTTAAGAGCACTGGTTGTTCTTCCAGAGGACCTAGGTTCAATTCCCAGCACCCACATGGCGGCTCACAACTGTCTGTAATTCCAGTTCCACGGGAGCTGACACTTTCACACCAATGCACATAAAGTAAAGTTAAATAAATTTAAAAAGAAGAAGAAGAATTTCTGGTCTGGGAATTGTATTAGAGTTTGTGCTGAGCATGTAGGAGGCTCTCCAATGGATATTCACCCCCCAACTCCCCCCCCCACTCGACTCCCACCCCCACACAACCAATCAAGCACCTTCTATCTTAGACCCTGAGTCCTCAAGTGAGCTAGGTTACAGGTATGGTAGATGGACCTATATAAATGGTGCATTTATTATTAACTTAGATTCCCTACGGTTGCTAGGCAGTGGTGGCAGCAGTGGCGCAAGCCTTTAATTCCAGCACTGGGGAGGCAGAGGCAGGAGGATCTCTGTGAATTCGAGGCCAGCCTGATCTACAAAGCAAGTTCCAGGACAGCTATGACTGTTACACAGAGAAATCCTGTACTGAAAAAACAAAAAAAGAATTTTTTACATTTTTAAATCCTTCACTAAATTAGGTAACCTAAGGATAGCAATGAAGTTAAGAGTTAACTAGTATTCTAGATTGATGGTTAAAAATCAAACGGGGCTGGAGGGACAACTCAGTGATTAAGAACTCTTGTCTCTTGTGCAGACTCAGCTAAGGTTCCCACTATCCACAACAGGCAACTCACAACTGCCTGTAACTCCAGTTCCATGGGGATATGATGCTCTCTCCTGGCTTCGGTGGGCACTTGCATAAAGGTGGTACACATACAAACATGTAAAATAAATAGTCTCTTGTGGTGATATATTGTGTACCCTAATAAACTATGCCTGAATATCAGAGGACAGAACAAGCCACTAGATTAAACAGAGGCCAGGCAGTGGTGACACACACCTTTAATCCTAGCACTGGGGAGGCAGAGATCCGTCTGGATCTCTGTGAGTTCAAAGCCACCCTGGACAATATGAGATTGACCCAGTCTAGGAGAGAAACAGAACCAGGCAGTGGTGGCCCACACCTTTAATTCCAGTACTTGGAAATCATACGACTTTAATCCCAGCACTAGGAAGGAAGTAATATGGCAGGGCAGAGAAAAGTATATAAGGCACGAGGAGACAGGAACTAGGTCTTTTCAGGCCGAGGAGTCCTAGAAGTAAGACGTGGCAGTGGCTTGTTCCTTTGTCTCTCTGATCTTTCAGCATTTACCCCAATATCTGGTCCCAGGTTTTTTATTAAAAGACCAATTTAGATTTTGAGCAACAGTCTCTCTTCAGAGCCGAAGTTGTTTAAACATCTGTTTAAACAGCTGCATCAGAGGCTTGCCTGTTCTGACAGTACTCTGGAACCCTTTACCCCCAAGGTAAACCCAAAGAGGACCTTAGTTACTGAGCAGGGTGGGAGGTAACATGGAGCTTGATGGAATATGCTAGAATGATGAAACAATCTTAAGACAAGAAGTTATATAGATGAGCTTTTGCCGGGTGTGTGTGCATGCGTGTGCACGTGCGTGTGTGTGTGTGTGTGTGTGTGTGTGTGTGTGTGTGTGTGGCATATCTCTTATTGGTTTTTTTAAAAATATGTATTATTTATATAAGTACATGTCTGCATGGCTTTTATCAGCTTTACATATATTTAAAATATTTTCTATTTGTTAGCTTGACTTTTGTCATTTATTTTGAGATAGGATCTTGTGTATGCCACGCAGTTCTTGAACTCTCTACATAGCCAAGGATTGTTGCAGAATATTTTTGAAGATGTATTTGCCAAGGTGCCTTCTTACTGGTTTAATAAAGGGTGAATGGCCAATAACTAGGCAGGAAGAGGCTAGGTGGGACTTCCAGGGACAGAGAGGACTCTGGGAAGAAGAAAGGGGGTTCCCAGCCAGACACAGAGGAAGCAGGATGGGCAGTACGGAGATGCCAGTGAGACGCTGAAGAAGCCGGACATACGGACAGAACAGAGGTAGCTGATCCACGTGGCAGAGTGCAGATTAATAAAACAGGCTAATTAAGTTATAAGAGCTAGTACATATATAAGCCAAGGCCAAGCTTTCATAGTTAACATTAAGTCTCTGTGTCATTATTTGGGAGTTGGCTGGTAGGACAGAGAAAGACTTGCTACAAAGGATGACTTTGAACTCTTCTGAGCCTCCTGTCTCCAACTCTGGAGTGCTAAAATTACTGGGATATGAATCCATGTCCCACCCTGTCCCTAGTGTTAGAGGTAGACTCTAGGACTTCATGCATACCAGGTAAGTTCTCTACAAATCAGTTTCTTCCATAGCTCATTTTAAAGTTTTTATTTCATTTTTTAAAATTTGTGTTTTTTCTATTTTTCTGATAAAAGGCCATGATCAAGTCAACTTATAGAAGAAAGGTTTTAATTGGGGCTTAAGGTTCAAGGGGGAAAAGTGCATGACGGCGGGGCACAGGTGCCGGCAGGTGGCCAGAGCTAGCTCAAGCTCACATCTTGAACAGCAATCAGGAAAGTACAACGGAAAGGGCACGAGGCTTTTGTAACCTCTGAACCTGCCCCCAGTGACATGTCAACTCCGGGAAGATCACACCTCCTGAGCCTCAAACAGCCACCAACTGGGCATCAACTTTTTAAATACCAGAGACTTATTGGGATGTATTAATCAACCACAATGTGTATATGTGTGTATGCATGTAGCAAGGGTTTCTCTGTACCACCAGCTCCCAAATAACGACACAGAGACTTATTAATGAATTATGAAAGTTTGGCCTTAGCTTAGGCTTGTCCCACTAGCTCTTATAACTTAAATTTACCCAACTATTTTAATCTACGTTCTGTCGAGTGGCTTGTTACTTCATCTCTGTGTATTGTT